AAAAAAAAAGGAACAAAATGTAAACAAATCTAGCAACGAGTTGCGTAACTTTCCCGGCTTTTATGAGATTTTATTTTTAAAACAACATATGTATTATTAATCAAAATAACTAAAATTATATGTGGTGTCATCTGTTATGAGATTGTATTTTAGAAACTATATATATTTTTAATTATTATAAAATAGCAAAAACTAAATTTTGAGGAAAGAAATGAGTTTTATAAAACACTAAATGCTAACAATAAGTGAAATCTTTAAGCCTGACCTCCCGCGAGATATGACACGTGTCCGTCCCCTTGACCTTTCACAACCAAAATTTACTAGCATCAATGCCTCATATATATATATATATATTTATTTATTTATTTATAAGCCACCACGTCAAATTTCATTTCTTTTTATCTCCACCCCTTTCTGAGATATTAAGCGAAATAAACGCCAACACCTCCCACACACATCATACATAGCCTATCCACGAAATTTTTTTGCCTGTGTTTTAGTTTTTTGGGTTCGGAGCTCTCAAAATGTAGAGATTTGTAAAAAAAAAAAAAAACTCGGAGGGTCAAATCTGACACGATTCCAATACTTTCTCTTGTTATGTGTACTTACTTTATTAATGTCATTATTTTACAGTGGCTCTATCATCTCCGAACAATTGTATTTGCAAAAATCATGTTTAGTGATTGCGCGGTTGTTTTAAATTTCAATCAGACAAAACACTAACTAACTCAAAAAACTGTATTTTCGAAGACTTACTACTTTGATATCCAGAATCCAAGTTAACGTCTTTTTTGTTCGAATCGATGCAAAGTTCGGCTTTTTCTTTAAAATCTTCCACTAAATTGCTCTGTAATACGTAATCACTAATCAGACAATTAAAATCGAATTCGTAGTATTTCGATACTTTTAGACATTAATATTAATACAAGCAAATAACGGAAAAAATATGCGATATATTTCAAAAATAAATTGTATTATTATTTATACAAAAAAAAAGAAAATAATAATTTAATTACCTGGAGATCATCGTCGAATAATTTTTCGTCATCACTAGAAAATGATGATTCTTCAGATTCGTCATCACTTTTTGTTTGATGTATTATATTTCCTGAACTTAGCATCGAAATTATATCTTGGCCTAATTTACGAGAAAGGGCAAGATGCAACGGAGTATTTCCACCATAATCCTTAGGACCGTTAATTATTTCAGACTGAAAAACCATAAATTAAATTTAATTAATTTTAGAGAAGAAATTTCTTTTTATAGAAGGAAATAAAAATGATTAATGTTGGAGAATTACTGTTTTCTAGCGGGATGCCGCATAAAAACGGGAGATATCGGCATGCTGGAAGCCTCGGGGGGGTTATTGGCAATATGAAATTAATCAGATGTAACAAAATTAGTTGTTAATTAAAAGTTAAAGTAAACATTCTTCCCAGTACAATAAAATAATAACATTGTAATTTGACTGACTTGTAAACGAAAACTTTTCCTGACTTTAAGACAACAAAACGATTAAGGGCTTATTGAAATTAATAGTAGTAGTACTAGTTAGTCAGTGCGAGCTACACTGTCCATCTATCCTGACATTCCTCTCAAATTCCACACAAAGTCGATGTTAACCAGTGTAAGCTGAGATGATTTACGGCGAGTTTCTTAAATTTAATATGTTTAATTTCGCATTTTTGAATCAAATAACAATAAAATACACACAAAAATGCACTTTCGAAATTCCAGGAGTAATTTACGTCGTTAGAAAGAAAACAAAATGAAGAAAAACGGTAATCATAGTTTTTAATGTAATGCTGACAGTTTCACAGTTTTAGAATAAAAACTCGTTCGTTTTTTTAATGTGTCCTCTAGAGAAAGATGTATGACCTCACTTAAACTGGCATGTCGGTTTTTACCATAAGGAAATATCTGATTTCATAGTCTCCCCGAATAGACGGGCCGGGCCATTCCGCGAAAATACGGCATTTCTGTTAAGATATAACCTTAAAAATTTTAAAAAGTTTAGACTTTTGTTCCATTTCAGAACTTTACAGTAAAAAAAAAAAAAACACTTATAAAAAATATATTCATAAATTTGTGATTGTATAAGTATACATCAGAGAGATTAAAGGGTTCTATTCGCTTTTTTAAAGTTATGTATTCTATTTACTTCTACTTTACATAAGTTCATTTGGTGTTAAAAAATTTTAACCGTAAATATAAGTAATTTTTAAGCAAGATGTATATTAATTAACACCTCCTTACTAGATATCTCGAAAAGAAATGGTACCTATCACAATATGAAAAATTCATGTTCATGTTTTATTATGTAGCCGACAGAAGAGGGGCGTATGCCCTAAACACATCTCGGCCCACAAGATATTCCTGAATAAAGACTGATGTCAAAAATGCCCAGTGTCTGTCTATGTACCTAGTTGCGAGAGGAAAAAAAACAAATAAAAGAAGACACAGTTTCAGAATAATCAATCTGTAGATCTATAAATTTGAGATATAAATCTGTTCAATAAAATCTATCAAAATTAAATGCTTAATTTCAAAGTAACTACATTAAGAGAAAAGGTGAACCCAGTTTAAAAAAATTATTCTAAAATCTGTTCAACCATTTTAGAAAAGGTAAGAGAATTATGAAATTAGCATTTCCCAATATTATTTTCCTAACCTAACTTTTTGTAATTTTAAAAACTGTAATGTAAGAAAAATTTTATATTGCACACAGTAAATATTAATACTTTTTTCTATTTTATTCCTATTTTATGAACTTTCAGTTCAAAATGAATTATTACTGTTGACTCCATTAAAAAAATGTATTCTCTAATCTATTATCTTCAACACATTCTTTAATTCTTTGACATTTAAAGAACCCAAGACAACACAAAAACATTTTCTACTCTTAGTTAATTACCTGATTTAATAAAACTGGTATTAATGCTGGACAGAACTGAACAGCATAATGCAATGCTGTTCTTCCAGTAGTACCATCTGTTGCATTGATATTTATATCAGCTGAACATAGCAGTTTCACTTGTTCAAATCTCCCGACTTTTACAGCAATGTGAAGGGGAGTTAATCCTAGAATAAAATAAAATCTACAGTTACATAATTTAATAAAAGTGACTAATTCATTTAATGAGTATTACAAAAACGAAATTACTATTAGTGTACACAATCATCCTTTAAAAAGTTGAAAAGAAAAAAGTTTATTTATAAAGATCTATTAAATTAAATTTATTGATTAACTAGAAGATGAGCCCGGCGTTGCCCCAGCAAAAACTAAAAAAGCAAAGATTAAGATTATTAGATTATTTCGTACTTCTAACTCATATTATATTATAGTATTTCTATTGATATTTATAAAGGTTATTTTACATAAGAGTTTATCACACCAATCTAACACATTTTAAAAATTTAAATTGTGTACAGTAGAAGAATAAAGAATTTTTAGATGTAATAGATTGGTCGCTAGTTGTGATAAACCCTTATGTAAGATAGTTATAAAAATCAACTACTATAATATAACAAACATAAAAATGAAAACCATATAGTTTCCTTGTATCAGCCAAGCATTGTCTCATTTATTGTGATATGTGATAAACGAGATACACTGATGATATGAATTGGTACAAATTTAATGGTCAGGTAGACAGGAATTGAAAATATATCTTAAATTTTTCAGATATCACAATATTTTCTAATGTTAACTCTAAGAAACTGTACCATTCACAGCCGAAAATCAGACGGTAATCTGCCAACCAATCAAATTTTGCAAAAAACGGACCAAATACCGTATAAACTCAGCATCCTCGAAAAACACTTAAATCATATTTTGTGCTCGCCGGTAACCTTGTATTATGTAATTTTCCTATTCGAATGCCATCATATTGCTAGTCTGATAGAAATAAGGGACCGTCGTGGAAGGGGGTTGAAGTAACTCGACCAAAAGTTGTTGACCTCTTCCCGGAAGAGAGGATGGTCAACGATCACTAATTAATACTGGTCTACTATTAATATTTGAAAAGTGATACGTGGTAGACAGGTTGCAATGGCCCCGCATTTGATCGAAGTTAACATTCGAAAGACTTCATACAAAACTTGGTTTTAAATTTTAAAAACTCTTGTAAAAATGCTAGAATTCCTTTAACATAATGATAAAGTGTTTATATTTTTGCATCAGATTTTATAAACTACGTAGAAAGTATGTTCTCATAAATACAGTATTGCGTTTATAAAAAAAATTATTGGGCTGCAATCTGAAAAAATTGTAGATTTGACTGTTCTCCTCTGTGTGTCTGACCTTCCTTAATCTCGAGAAAGGAGTTAGGTAGATGAAAATTGAAACCAGATATGGAATGCTTATGGCAGGAGGCCCAAATGAACTATATACTAACTTCCAGTTTGGAACAGAAGTAGTGTTACTTCAATTCAAAATTTCCCCAAATGGAATTAGATAGAAAACCAGCATGACTCTACTGCTAAGACAAAAAGTATGATGTACAGGGGCAAAACACTACTACACTCCATGCAGGTGCTACCTGTCGCAGTAAAGGCATAATAGCGCATATATTTTGTGTTTTATCATTGTCGCAGTAAGTTGGTAAATATAATATATATTTTTAAAAATTATATTTATTTAATTCTTTTGTTAAATTTTTTCCCAATAGATAGAGCTACCTGTAAAGTCAGAAAATGGAGTGTAGACAGAGATTAATTGATATGTAGAAATCCGTCAATATTTTGGTGTGAAATGTATGATATGATGTAAGTTAGAAGTATATGAGTGCAACTTCCGAGTTTTGTAGCAATTGGTCGAACAGCCTAGGAGTGTATGGCAAACAAACAAAGAAACATCTTTTGTTAAATTTTTTCCCAATAGATAGAGCTACCTGTAAAGTCAGAAAATGGAGTGTAGACAGAGATTAATTGATATGTAGAAATCCATCAATATTTTGGTGTGAAATGTATGATATGATGTAAGTTATAAGTATATGAGTGCAACTTCCGAGTTTTGTAGCAATTGGTCGAACAGCCTAGGAGTGTATGGCAAACAAACAAAGAAACATCCTCATTTATATATATAGATAAAATAAACATTTTACAAACAATAAACTTCGAATAATTTCTTAAATGTATTGGATAAATTATAATTTGAAAAGTCATCATATTTTTCAAACTATTGATACTTTATCAAATTATCAACTTAAAGGATTCTTACAGTTTGCTCTGAATAACTTGAAGCAGAAGAGAAGAACAATTTTCAAGTTAAATAAATTACTATTACTTTAATGAAATCACAAATACTGTGATACAAACAATATAGACAGATTTAAATACTAAATACTTTTATTATTTCTTAGATTCATACTTATAATAAAATATTTATACTACTAGTGAAAGAAATTTGTTACAAAAGTTTTATGCCACTGATGCATTGCTTCCTGCTTGATAATGTCTTAGATGTGCTCAATTGCTTTAAAAATATTTTGTTTCACATGATATAGTTTTTAGAAAGCCTTTTAAAATTTACCTGAACTTCTTTCTTGTATGCCATATTACTAAAGGCTGTGTTGTTTCTCCTTTTCCAAATGTCCTCATGTTCTCTTAGTCTTTCTCTGATGCTGCAGCCCATGGCACCTATGTACATAAAACCTCTCATACTTCGACCTTTCTGTCAGTGGTATCTTATAAATCTCTGCTTTATCTTTCTTCAGTATTCTATCCTTCTGATTTCTTAGGGTGTGAATGATTGTTCTATTCCTCCTAAATACAATCTCTTCCTTTGTACAAATCTCTCCTATCTCATATAGTTAACTGGGACACTTTCCACCCCCTTTTCTTCTTTCTTATCTGCTTCTTGTTCTTTTTACTTCATTTTTTTTTTATCATATCTTTCTTTTGTTTTATATCATATGATGCCACTATATCTTTAATCCTCCAAATCTCTTTCTTCCTATGACCTATACATCTCTGTGAACTAATGCTCTAAATCAGTGTTTCCCAACCTTTTTTGTGCTATGCCCCATCTAAGCCTTTCTAAAATTCTTATGCCCCCCTAACATATACAGCAGCTATACAGTTAACTGAAACTCTGGACGAGTCCATTTTCGAATTGCCCCCTTTACAATCCAATTGCCCCATGGGGCATGGGCCCCACGTTGGGAAATGCTCTAAATGCACTTCTAACAAATTGCTCAGAGTCCTGGAACACCTTCAGTATGTAGATGGGTTTATACATGGCCTTCCTTATACATTTGTCATGTATTCATTTTCATCTTGTGAGAAGTCCACATCAAGGAAATGCATTGAAGAGTTTGCCAAACTCTTGCTGTTTGACTCAGCTTTGTTCATAAATGGAGTATGAATACACATCTATAAATTTATTAATTCTCCTCTAATCTTTCCATATAAGAAAGATGATGTTAAAAATTAACATATCTTATTATGAGTTCAATATCACTTGCCAATCTCTTTCGTCATCATCCTCTTTTTCTATTACCCCTTGCTCCACCACAAATAATGCAAGTAAAGATCCAATTTGTCCTCTTTTCTGTCAATAAAATTCTCTATGAAATACTAATTTTCATGCACATTTGCATGAATTAGCTCCAAAGTCCTTTCCTTCAAACTCAGATAGGCTATGAAATTACATAAAATCAAAAACTGCCGGTTCCTGTCTGATAGATGGACAAGGATTAAAAGTCACATATACAGAGTCATAAAATATGATATAAAAAGTACTTTTAAATTATAGATCCTGTGATATTTAAAACTTATAAATTGTTCAATTTTAGTAAATTTGAAAAAGCATTAGCTACAATTAATAAAATAATTTATTGTAACAATAAAACAGATACTAAGGTAAGATTTCCATTTATTCAATTACATAAGTTTCTTAGCATATACATTACTTAAAATCCAATTTATATCATATTTGCTAATGATGATATTATTATGGTTTGCAAATATGATACCATATAAAAAATTTTAGTAGTTAAACTTACCTTCAAAATTTAATAAATTAAGATCCATTTTAGATTTTTTCTGAAATTTGATAAGTTCTTCCAGGCACTCCGTTTTATCATACTGAACAGTATAATGGATAACTGTATTTCCATCTTTATCTTTTAGATTTGGATTGCATCCAGCTTCTAGGAGAATGCACACAGATGATGGCATACAATCATTTTTGATTGCTAAATGTAACAACGTCTATCAAAACAAAAACAAAATTTCCCTCATAAGAAAGACAATAATGATAAACTTAAAAAAAGTTATTTATAAATCTGAAAGATATTTGTTTTCTTAAATTTATTAGTATAAGCTAATCATTTAGAGAATTTTCATCTGGTAACAATTCAGTATTTGTTACAATATAATAATGAAAATAATCAATAAACAATACTATTAGGGAACTTCTCTAATTAAAATTTGAGATTCTTGTCTTATCAGAGATCTTAAAATTTAGTAAAATAAGTTTACTTGTACTCTTTGATACTTAGCCTTTGATTTTGGATTTAATTAAGCAAGTAAGTTTGGATTTTTGAGCAATCTAAATATATAAAATTACTTGTCCTGACTGACTGAATCACTGATTGATTCATCATCGCCCAGAGCAAACCGCTGAACCTAAAGAGGTAAAATTTGGTACATAGTTATAGTAACGCTTAACATGAAGAACAGCTTTTGAAATTGATTCCCATACTTTCTCTTAAACAAATAACATTTCAGACATTGTTATAAATATTTTTATATATTTCAATTTTTTAACCAAAGTTCGAACTGTTTTAAATTTGAATTTGTTATTGCATATAGGTTTGATTATAGAATGATTAAACGTTCCAGAAAATTGCTCAAATTTAAAATAGTTTATTTGATTCTCAGCAATTCTCATCATTCTCAGCGGTAGGTGTTATATAACAATTACTACGGTTGTTGAAATACTTAATATAAATAGGGTTTACTTGCAAAACTCCCGCAGGCGAAGTCGCGGGTAACAGCTAGTATTAACATAAATGGTTTCTGTGTAGGTGGATTGATTGGTTTATTTTAGCAGTGATAAATTCTGCTTGAAGGATGTTTAACCTTATCATAACATTCTTAAGTTTCATAATTTAATAATATATCTTTTCTTTGTAAGAACTCCTATTTGCAAGATGCAACTTAACTGTATTTTAAAATTTAAAAAATTCAATGATTTTCATTGTTGAAAAGACACTTTTGAAAAATGATTGCATTTATTGTAATTTAATTTCTGTCACAGAAAAACATCATACCAAAAAACTTATAATAGCATGCTATACTGCACATTATCAAATTTCAATTTTTAACTGTTAAAGCTTTATGAACCATTCAATATGTAACATCATGATGAAGTCACAGAATATACTTATTTGATGCTAATGGGTCTATAATTGTCACAAGCATCATATCAATTTGCATATCTAAGTGTAAAGAAAAAGAAACAACATACTAAGAAATTAGTAAAATTAAGTGCACTGAAAAATATTACAAACTCAACACACAATAATATCTAAATGGATTTTGATCTGGGATTCTTTTTATTCACTCACTACTTAATTTATAAAAAAATTGTTTAACCATTGACAAATGATTTTGTATTTTGAGTTTCAGATAATAATAATATAATAATCTAGAACAGAAATGTTTTCTTTCTTTCATTAGAGTTTTTAGAACTTTTGCATTAAAACTGAATATTTTTTAAATTCAGATATCAATAAAAATGACANACAGCACTAGCGAAAATTTAAATTTGCCGACTGGAATGCTTTCGGATAACAGACGTTTCGGATAACCAGCTTTCGGATAAACGACGCTCTACTGTATAGCTAATAATACAGGCAACTTATGTAGGAAAATGTCCTTGTTTATATTACATTCCATTACTTAAACCCTGAATTTAGCGTGAGTCGATTTTTTAACAAAAAATAAATGGTCGAAAAATACCGCGTTATATTCGGGCTAATACGGTACTAAGAAATTAGTAAAATTAAGTGCACTGAAAAATATTACAAACTCAACACACAATAATATCTAAATGGATTTTGATCTGGGATTCTTTTTATTCACTCACTACTTAATTTATAAAAAATTGTTTAACCATTGACAAATGATTTTGTATTTTGAGTTTCAGATAATAATATAATAATCTAGAATAGAAATGTTTTCTTTCTTTAATTAGAGTTCTTAGAACTTTTGCATTAAAACTGAATATTTTTTAAATTCATATATCAATAAAAATGACATAAATATCAAGTTTAAATTATCAAATTTTTTTTTTATATTGTAAAAGTCTAACTTAAACCCAAATGTTTTTTATATGTATGAATGAACAGTCAGAGGAAAAGTTAGTTTTTCTCTCTAATTGTTTAAGCAATACCTAAATCTATGCTGAAATACACACAAAAATGAAATTATTCTATTTTCTTAAATAAAAAAAACCTTAATGAATTTTTGTGAAGGTTTGAGCACATTTTAAAATTTCAAAGAGTGCAGGCAGTAGAAAAATTCAAGAATCACTGAATTATATCATCATAATAGTTACAATTTCTTATGTTTAAGAAAGACTGTTTTCACAATTCAAAAAAATTATTATTCACAGTCAAGTTTACATATACTGTTCCATATGGTCATTATGGTCATGATCTTGTGAGGCAGAAATTGCATTCAATACAGAATATAATTAACAACAGAACACAGCATGTCTGGAGAAATGTTCTGCACATGCAGTGTAATGTTGTCTTTCAAGACTGCCAAATTACAGATACATCCATGATAGATGTGGTTATATTCTGCTGTTGAATAAGAAATGAAATGGAGAGCATGTCAGATGCATTTTTTACGTTACAAATATACAGGGTAATCAAATGAAAATTTTACTTGCATGGAATAAACATCACAATCAGAAGCGTAGCTACCATGGAGCAGTTGGAGCAAACTACTCCAGATGCACAAATCACCAGGGTGCCAAGTTAGAAAGGGCGAAATAAAAACTTAAAAACATTTATAAAAAAACATTTGGATTTAATAATTAATCAATTAACTTTTAGCAAGGTTGGGCTGAAGTTTTCATCTCTAAAATGCGAACGTTGAGTGCCACTTACAAGATAGCAACGTTCAACGTTCATGTTATAGAGATGAAAACTTCAGCCCAACCTTGCTATTATATTTGTGATTCCGTTTGACAATTATGTACACTTGTCATCTGATAAAAATATTCTGGAAGGATCAGGATTGTTACAATCAGTATATCCCTCCAACATTTCGCCTAGTTTTGGACCTCAACTGCTTTGATTTAAAATGTGTTTTATACTCAGGTAAAAGAAATTACTTCTATATGCCAAATTGCCAAACTACTTTTAATTCACACTGCAGCCTCAACTAGCTTCTCAGACATTATTGCAGCATGCCTCATTTTTTAACTTTACTGGTGATGACAGTCACAGTAGAACGAAGTTTTTGAAAACTAAAATTAATCAAAACTTATTTACGAAGCAGCATGTCACAACACCATTTTAACTCTTTGGCTACTATATCAATTGAAAATTCAATAGCTTGTCGACTTGATCTGGAGAAAGTGATTGACTGATTTGCATTTTTTGACTCAGGACAGCTTGAAACATCAATAAATGCAAAAAAATTTGGGGGTAATTTCTGTATGTATCGATATTAGTGTGTTGGCATGATTTTGTTCACCCTGTTTGAAGCTTGTACTTTTTGTTGGAAATTTCTTAAATTTTGCAGGAAGGTACATTCTGCNTTCAAAAAAATTATTATTCACAGTCAAGTTTACATATACTGTTCCATATGGTCATTATGGTCATGATCTTGTGAGGCAGAAATTGCATTCAATACAGAATATAATCAACAACAGAATACAGCATGTCTGGAGAAATGTTCTGCACATGCAGTGTAATGTTGTCTTTCAAGACTGCCAAATTACAGATATATCCATGATAGATGTGGTTGTATTCTGCTGTTGAATAAGAAATGAAATGAAGAGCATGTCAGATGCATTTTTATGTTACAAATATACAGGGTAATCAAATGAACAGCTTGAAACATCAATAAATGCAAAAAAATTTGGGGGTAATTTCTGTATGTATCGATATTAGTGTGTTGGCATGATTTTGTTCACCCTGTTTGAAGCTTGTACTTTTTGTTGGAAATTTCTTAAATTTTGCAGGAAGGTACATTCTGCCAANCAAATGAACAGCTTGAAACATCAATAAATGCAAAAAAATTTGGGGGTAATTTCTGTATGTATCGATATTAGTGTGTTGGCATGATTTTGTTCACCCTGTTTGAAGCTTGTACTTTTTGTTGGAAATTTCTTAAATTTTGCAGGAAGGTACATTCTGCCAATACAATTTATATAATATGTAGTAATTATTATTAGGTATTCCTTACTTAAAGAATTATATTTTGACTCAGGACAGCTTGAAACATCAATAAATGCAAAAAAATTTGGGGGTAATTTCTGTATGTATCGATATTAGTGTGTTGGCATGATTTTGTTCACCCTGTTTGAAGCTTGTACTTTTTGTTGGAAATTTCTTAAATTTTGCAGGAANATGTTATCGTATTGTATTATTTTTAACTATTTGGGCCCATGTCTTTTTCTCTTTGCTTTGTGTAGGTAAGTTATCTCTGTTTTGTCAATGATTTTATTGCTTTTCATTGACAAGCACTGTTCTCAAATTGTCTTGAAGAAAAAACAAAGAAAATTGTACAGGGAAATCAGAGTGTAAAGAGAATACCTCAGGAAAGCATAAAAGTGAAAGTGTGCTAGATAATTTGTTTTTCTTCTTGTAGGTTGAGCTATTCATATCTGGTGACACTTCACATAAGAAGAGGAGAAGACATATGGAGGAAAAAAGACAAACATATATGGTCAGTGCAGTAAAATGTCAACAGAAAATTCTCACAAAACAAATGCTAAATAAATGAACCTATTCATCATTGCACACAAGCTCATCTAGACTTGGGAATTTCTTTATTAATGTTAGTAATGGTTTGTGTTGGCAAAGATATGTTTGTATAGTTTGACTAATGATTTTTACAATCTACTGGTAAAATAATTTGACAAAACTTCAGAATTAACTGAACAAATGAAGCAGTACACCTTGTATAACTCCAGCAATATACACTCATTGACATTAACATTAGTGTACCAAGGAGTTGTTGGAATCAAACAAAACTGTACATGTGTGAGTATAATGGTGATGTGATTACAAAATGGAAGCAAAACAATCAATTTCAATTATTGCAGTAAAAACTACAAACGAAAGGAGTACCCTGTTGGGCCACCTCTAGCACAAATACATCATGTGATATGGGTGGGATTGGAAGCATACAGGTGTTGTGTAGTGACCTGCAGCATCTCAATTTACAGTTGCTGCAAGAGATTCTCTAGTTTGGCCAAACTCCTAGGCTGTCCAACTTGGCATCCGAGGTGGTACCAGACATGTTCAATTGTGACTGGGCAGGCCAGGGAAAGTGTGGTAATGTGGCAGAGACAATCATGTTATACCCTTGCCGTGTGTGTTCGAGCACTGTCCTGTTGGAAAATGGTTATTAGGAGCCCTGCCATAAGAGGCAATACATGTGATTACAGGATGTCACTAACATATCGCTGGGCTGTCATGGTCCCTTGGATCACTGCCAGAGATGTCTGGCTGTCATATATAATGGCACCCAGACCATCATATATGACAGCCAGACCAGCTGCTCCAAAGTGTAGGCAGGATTCAGGTGTTCACCACAGGACCTCCATACACAAACACAGCCATTGTCAGTGCCCAAACTGAATCTGGATTCATTGCTGTAGACAACCTGGTTCAATTCTGTTTGGTCCAATCCCATCAGCAGTAACACCACTCCAAACAGAGGCAATGGTGAGTGACTATCAATGGCAGCACATGTAATGGCTGCCACAATACCAAATGTTCCTTACCCAGGCACCTGAAAATGGTATGGACAGACACAGGGGCCTGTAATGATAGTGCCACCTGTCTGGATGGCAGACAGCCTCATAAGGAACTCCTTCCCTACCCCACCTAATGCCCTAATCGGCTGACATGGTAGACAGAAATGACATAGCTAGGCCACATGGTACATCTTTTGAGCTCCCATCCACACCCCAGCCCAGCTCTCTAACTTGGCATAACTTTTATATTGTGCAGCCTGTTCTGCACTTAGTCCACAATACTAAACTTATAGCTCACTTTGCTCAACAAATAATATAACGGAGAGTGGGGTCCCCTTCCCTACAAGAAGAGAGAGCCCAGCCTAGCACATCCACCAGGCTTATAGATCAAAGAGATCTATGATTTTTCCCATCAATTCCTTTAGTTTCTTTAAGTGTCCTTTACTAGCTGCTAGCATTCGAAGTACTTGTTCAGGGAGCTTAGTCCAGTCAAGTTGGTTAGCCTCTAGGTGGAAGTCCGCGGTTAGAGGACAGTCAAGTACATAGTGTCTCGTGTCGCTGCGAGGACATCCACAGGAGCAGCTATCATCTCCTTGTCCGAACTTGGACTTGAAATGGGGAAATCTCCTGTGTCCGGTTAGAATTTGTGTTGTCAACCAACAACTTATTGGAGTGAGGACAACTATAGGCACGAAGGCGTAGGTCGGCCTACCTACTGTACTTTGAGTCCAGTGCTCTTGCCAGTATGTCATCAATCTTTGCAGTAGAGTACTTTTTATGTATGTAGCCGAGGGTTCTACCGTCCTCGTAACAAATGGGCCGCTGACTCCCGCCTTTGCCAGCTAATCGGCACATTCGTTGCTCAGGATCCTGGTGTGGCCTCAGATCCACCGCAAGACAACGTGCCTCACCCTCAGTACCCCATCTCTGATCTCCTGTACCAGAGGATCGTGATGGTACCTGTCACTCAAGGCCTGTAGCGACGACTGGCTGTCTGAGTATACCGTGACTGGCTCTGGACCCAGGAGTGAAAGGATCCACTGGGACGCCCCCTCCAGGGTCACAAGTTCCGCCTGGAACACAGACGCTTCCTCATTCAATCTGACTGATTGGTAGTACACTTCTACTCCGTCAGACAAGACGCAGTATGCGGTACCTACTAAGCTACCGTCCTTTGAGCCATCGGTGTATATTTCAACACCGGTGCCTGTCGGTTCACTGACATCCCAATCCAGTCCTATCATATAGGCAGGATGGATCTTTAGTATGCTGACTACCAGAGGCAACGGGAGCAGCCCAGCCAGGACCAGGGCTGCTCCCGTTATATCATTGTCTGTACATGGATGGCAGACAATGATATACTCAGCTGTGTGCTTGTTTGTCAGAGGACCAGGCAGTCCTCTTGGCTAGTCATCTGCTGAGGGCATCCTGAGCCTGGGCACCATGCGCGCAAGCTCTCTCTCATCCAGTGGTCCCAACACTTCCTCACAGTGTTGTCAGAATGGCCTCGGTCAGGGATTGGCAACCTATGGCACTCTGACTGAATAGAAATGTAGTAAAAATTATATTTTAATTATTAATTACACATTTAAATGGAAGCCATAATTCAGTGTAGGCTGTAGTACATTAAAAATGAATCTCTTGCTTGTATATTTATATTACAGTGGTAAGATGTTGGAGAGACCATATGAACAACTAACCAAACTTGGTTAAATGTTCATATGGTCTTCAATCATATGGTCTCTCCAACAACAAAACTTGGTTAATTATTCATATGGTATTCGATTGCAATTAAAGGCATCTCTAGTGATATAGTGACCTTCTGCAACAGGTAAACTACAGTCACAATGCCTTTGTGTGCATTTTTTATAGGCCAAAGAGGACGTACTTTGCAGCGATATGATAACGCCTTCTTGACGCACTAATTTTTATGGCAATAAGTGTATTTAATCAACCGAGAACATTTTCGACTTACTTTCATTGAACTTCCTCAGTTGGAACCTCAAACTTAAATGAAAAACAAAAAGAACATTCAAAGAACATATTAAACACAAGAGAAATAATTTAAATTAAAAAGAATGGGAGGAGCATTCTAAATCAACAGAACATTCATACAATTCNGGTAGACAGGGACAACATAGCTGGGCCACATGGTACATCTTTTGAGCTCCCATCCACACCCCAGCCCAGCTCTCTAACTTGGCATAACTTTTATATTGTGCAGCCTGTTCTGCACTTAGTCCACAATACTAAACTTATAGCTCACTTTGCTCAACAAATAATATAACGGAGAGTGGGGTCCCCTTCCCTACAAGAAGAGGGGGCCTGGCCTAGCATGTCCACCAGGCTTATAGATCAAAGAGATCTATGATTTTTCCCATCAATTTCTTTAGTTTCTTTAAGTTTCCTTTACTAGCTGCTAGCATTCGAAGTACTTGTTCAGGGAGCTTAGTCCAGTCAACTTGGTTAGCCTCTAGGTGGAAGTCTGCGTTTAGAGGCCAGTCAAGTACATAGTGTCTCGCGTCGCTGCGAGGACATCCACAGGAGCAGCTACCATCTCCTTGTCCGAACTTGGACTTGAAATGGGGAAACCTCCCGTGGCCAGTTAAAACTTGTGTCATCAACCAACAACAACTTATTGGAGTGAGGCCAACTACAGGCACGAAGGCGTAGGTCAGCCTACCTACTGTACTTTGAGTCTGGTGCTCTCGCCAGTATGTCATCAATCTTTGCAGTAGAGTACTTTTTATGTATGCAGCCGAGGGTTCTACCGTCCTCGTAACAAATGGGCTGCTGGCTCTCGCCTTTGCCAGCTAATCGGCATGTTTGTTGCTCGGGATCCCAGTGTGGCCTCAGATCCACCGCAAGACAATGTGCCTCACGCTCAGTACCCCATCTCTGATCTCCTGTACCAGAGGATCGTGATGGTACCTGTCACTCAAGGCCTGTAGTGACGACTGGCTGTCTGAGTATACCGTGACTGGCTCTGGACCCAGGTGTGAAAGGATCCACTGGGACGTCCCCTCCAGGGTCACAAGTTCCGCCTGGAACACGGACGCTTCCTCATTCAATCTGACTGATTGGTAGTACACTTCTACTCCGTCAGACAAGACGCAGTATGCGGCACCTACTAAGCTACCGTCCTTTGCGTGCATTTTTTATAGGCCAAAGAGGGCGTACTTTGCAGCAATATGATAACGCCTTCTTGACGCACTAATTTTTATGGCAATGAGTGTATTTAATCAACCGAGAACATTTTCGACTTACTTCCATTGAACTTCCTCAGTTGGAACCTCAAACTTAAATGAAAAACAAAAAGAACATTCGAAGAACATATTAAACACAAGAGGAATAATTTAAATTAAAAAGAATGGGAGGAGCATTCTAAATCAATAGAACATTCATACAATTCAAATACAAGGGATATAAAAAAATAAATACATGTTATAATCAAAACATAAAATACAAGCAAATGCAAATGATACAAAAATAAACCAATAATAACAATATAAATAAACAATAACAATTACTGGAGATCCAAGTGAAAGCTCATATATAGATTTCCACACTGTCATAGGGATGCTGACACATAGATAATGTGTCAGCATCCCTATGATTAATACAAATATTTCCTATTAGCATTAAAATTTTCTAATAACTTCAAGAAGTTGATAGAATCAGGATTGCTGGCAGACCTGATGATCTTACTCTTATCCCATTTTATCTGTACGTCCTGCTGGAAGACATAAGTTGCTAAGAAGACTGGTGTTGAGATTTTTCTCAACAGTGTATTTGCATTACTTAATTCTTTGTTGTAGAGTGCATTTGGTAGCTCCCACATAAGTTCTCTGCCAGTTTGCTGAATCTCAAATTAATTAGTGTATTTCATACCAATAATGTGGAATGTACAGAAAGTGAGTGCTTTCAGTTTGAAAATGGCTAACTTAGAATTTATCTAACATTGTTCCCGTGCACAACCAAGTTGAATGGCTAAAATCTGTCAAAACAACAAAATACAGTTGTCCCTTGATAATCCGACAGGTATGGGACCAAAGGTGTGTCAGATTACCAAAAGTGTCCGGATTACCGAAAATAATTACATATTTCGCATTGTTTTGCTAGCAGTAACTTACAATATTCTCTACTCCAACTGTTCGAACAGAACTGCTCACATAAAACACACGAAATGTGTGTCATCG